ATAGGCAATTAGAAGAAACTTAAATGGCTCTTCTAGGAACACACATGCATGCCCACACACACACACACACACACACACACACACACACACACGCAAATATATAACAGATTTCGAAGGCAACCAATGATATTATATTGAAATACAGATATGCGAATGTTAAAATATTGTAATATATATGAGATTCTTTTGGAATGAAATAAGTAATTAATGAAATATAGTAGTGACTTTGATAACTATCAAAAATTTGAAACAAAAACAATATTTTGGATATTGCCAACAATTATAACATGATTTGAAAATTCCTGTTACCTGTGTTTTGGACCAAGTCCTAGCTCTCTGTGGCTATATTCATTGTTAAATTTCAGCTGGAGGCTAGTAAACGTAAGAGAGTCTTTCCTGTATGAATTCATAGATGTTACCTGCACTTTATCTACAGGCCACTTTGGGTTAAAATCCTCACACTGGAGTCACTAGGTGAGCAAGACCTTTACCCAGAGCTAAGAGGTAGTTTTCGAGAGATAGACAACAGCTTTTCTGGTGGACAGAGAAATTTAGAGCACTCATGGCTGATGAGAAAAAACATCCCAAGTACAATAGCACTAAAAATACCTAAGAATATTTAACCAAGAAGATGAAAGATCTATTCACTGAAAACCATAAAACACTGATGAAAGAAACTCAAAAGGACACAATAAATTGAGGAATAGCCCGAGCTTATGGTTCAGAAAAATTGATTTATTGATATGTTCCTACTTCCCAAAGGAATATATAAACTCAACACAATCCCTAGGAAATTATCCTAAAATTTGTATGGAACCATAAATCTCTGACTACTCAAAAAATTTTAAGATAGGAAAACAAAGTGGAAAGTATCACACTTCCTGATTTAAAATTGTGTTGCAAAATTATATTAATCAAGAAATATGGTTCTATTATTTTTAAAAAGTCAGATACCAGTGGAACAGAATAGAGTCCCGAAAAAAGCCCAAGAATATATGGGCAACAAATTTCTGAAAATCTCTACATTCTCCAAGAAGAAACAATAGGGAAAGAACAGTGTCTTCCATAATTGGTGCTGGTCAAATTGAATTTCCACTTCCAAAAGAAGGGAATCTGGCCCTACACAAAAATACACAAAAATAAACTCTAAATGAATAAAACACCAAAATAAAAGACCAGAAGTGGTAACTGTGGTAGAAGGGGAAGAGCTCATTGGCATTGGCCTTTATGATGAGATTGTAGATATCGTAACAGAAGTGCAGTCCACAAAAGTGGCAATAAATAAACGGGACTACATCCAACTAAAATTCTTCATGACAAATGAAGCAATCAATCAAATGAAAGAACAGACTAAAACTATTTACAAATCATTTGTCCAGTAAGGGGTTAATATCCCAAATTGGCAAAGAACCCAAATAAGTTAATAGTGGACAAACATAAGCTGATCGCAAAATGAGCACAAGGCCTGAATAGGAATTTCTTCGTGGAAAGCTTAAAGACGGCCAGCAGGTGTATGACGAAGAGATGCCCATTATCACTGATCACCAGGGACATGCAAATGGAAACCGCTATGAGATACTTGCTTACACTTCTCGGGATGGGTTTTAGCAAAATGTCAAAAGGTAGCAAATGTTGGCAAGAATGAAGAGAGAACTTTTGTGTATTTTAGGTGGACATGGACATTGGTATCGGTATATACAAGTTACTAAAGTTGTCAAAAATAGAAATTAAAAATAGACTCAGAAATTCCTTTTCTGGGTATAGACACAAAGGAAGTCAGCCACTCACAAAGATATCTGCATTACCATGCTCATCACTCAACAAGAAGACATGGAAACAATGTAAGTACTCACTCATGGACAAATGGATACAGACAGTCTTGTAACATATGCCGGGGAACGTTATTCTGCCCTCCAGCAGAATGAGATCTGCTACTTTCCGTCACATGAACTAGCCAGCGGGATATTATGCAAAGTGAAACAAGCCAGCTACAGAAATGAAACTACTGCATAATTCCATTTACACGTGGATTAAAAAAAATCAAATATATAGGAATAAAGAACATAAGAACCTGGTAACTAGACCAGAGCTGGATAGCAAATGTGGAGTGTGGGTAAGAAGACGCAGAGCAGCAGACATAGGGTGTATGAAGTCCGAAGCTGTCTCGTACGTGACAGCTGTGAGGGAGACTGTTGTGCGCACGGGTCTCCTGCTAAATGAGAGATCTAGCTGCTTTTGCCACCAAAAATTTTTTTTAAAAAGAAAGCAAAAGTTGAAAAATATGTTAATTGTTTCCTTATCATAACTTCTTTACTTGTGTTTGTATCTCAGAACATGTTGTATACTCGAAATATAGATGATAGAACTTACACAAAATGAGACAGGAAATCGACAGATTTGACAAACTATATCTGTATGATGGTATTAGTTGCCGGCATATGAATTACAAAAGGAGAGAGGTGTTCAGTGATATTTAGAAACACTTGTAGATAAAGAACAAAATTTATAAAGGTTGCTTCTAATGTCTGTGTCCTTGCTTTCATGTTGTTCCACTTTTTCTAATTTAAAGGAAAACTGTGTATATATCATAATTGAGAAAAAAAACCATGTATGTGTATGTGCATATACCTGAAATGTGCAAATTTCCATAATTAGATTATAAATTCCTTAAGGCAAATTTGCATCCTAGATTTTGTTTGTGTCTTTCTCAACAATGTTGTGCAAATCACAGATGTTCAGTGAAGCCTCTTATCCTAAAATCTTCCTTAAGAGTCATCCCAATGACTCATGCTAGGAAAGATATATCAAAACATAAATCCTTGACACAACAATGCTAAATCAAATTATTTATATATGGAAATGTTCAGACAGAAAGGCTAAGAGCTATATAGCACTAAAATGTTCAAAGTACCTTCAAAACCAGCTAAATAGGACAAAAAACAGTAGGGAATTGTTTAAATAAATTACAATGAGGGCATATGATACAAGAGTGAATATTAGGCACTCACCAAAATCACTATAAAGAACATTAGAAACTTGGGGACATATTTACAATATTATTAATGTGAGAAAATAGCTTACAACAGAGTATGTACCTGAAGCCACGTTCACAGGATCTCCTCACACATTAGAATGGAAAAAATGCAACTTTTAATTGATTCCTGAGTGAAAAATCAAATTGGGCCTAGGGCTGAGAACAGAAGTGGAGCCTGAGCTGGCACATGCATGCTTGATCTTGACCTCATTGCAAGGATGTCCGTTTAAAAAAGGCACCTGGTGGGAACTGCAGAGAGAGAGACAGGTTTAGAGGACCTTGCTTGTGAGTAAATACAGAGAAAGGGGGCTTTGTGGAGAAAAGGGGTTCAGTTTCTTCATTCGTCTCTCAGGACTCACCCAAGAGAGAGCCTAGGATCCTAGAGATCCATTTACTGCCAACCCTCGGTGGGTGTCCAAAGAAACCACCTGAGACTGGTGGGGCCCAGGATTCCCCCTCACTTCCTGTCACTGGTGCCAGCATTGTGCCAAATAAAGCAAACATGACTTTAAACTGTAAAGCCAGGGGTTGAGAACCCATGCCGTGTGTGCTGCAGCAGGCACAGGCACCATGTCATCCCAGATGCCAAGCATCAGATATTCAGATTTAACTGCAGTGTTGGTACTTTGGAATAAATAAGTGGGTTTGGGGTTGCAGCTTGTGCACACAGCCTTTAAAGGTCCACCGCCATGAGATTGAACAACCAAGATCAGGTAGCGCCTTAGAGGTTCTTACAGGTGACAGGAAGACAGGCAGGTGAAAGATCCTCACTTGGGAGGTAGTTGCAGGTGCATGAAGGCACCAGACTAACAAAACTCAGGATGGGAAAATGCAGGAGCGAACTCAGGAAAGGGAAGCTGAAAGAACTTCCCTAGGTTCTCCCTCCACAGCTGAGACAGGGCTGCTGGGAGCATGGGCCTGGGATAAGGTCAATTTCTCCACTGCATGACCAGGTCTATCTTAGAGACTTGGCAGTTCTGTTTTTTTATAGACTAGAAGGCAAAGAAACAGGGAAGAGCCTTTAATTATACTTGTGATCTCAGGGTTGATACATATTGAGAGAAACGTTTGCTGCACGAAACTTTCCAGAGTCACAGGAATTGGCATGTCCACAGTGGTGCAGTGAGACTGGAGACCCAGAAGAGGACAGCAGACTTCACCCACTGGGTTTTTTATCATGAAGACTTCCCTTGTTCCTGCTAAAGTACAAAGTTTCCTGCATGACACTGTTTGGGCTTCACTTCATTGGGGAGTTCCTCCTCTGCCCTTCAAGTAGGCACCACTCTGAGTTTCTCATGCATGGTCCCCTCTGAGGACTACTGCACTGTAGCAAGTTTCTGGTTCCTCCCTGTGGCCACTGGACTACACCTGCACTGGACACCCCGCAACCCCCTAGCTTCACCTGTCTCAGTCCTGCACCCTCCTGTTTCAGCTGCTGTGTAGAACAATGCTACACAGGTGCAGCAGGAGAGCTTCTTCTGTGGCTCATGTGGTCCAGCACCTTACACATCTGCCCCGAGTCCAGGAGGCCCCAGAGGAGAGACAAACAGCCCTCTAGGCAGGTATGGGCAGGCTGGAGAAAGTGCAGGCATTTGTCCCCCCACCTCCAACCAGACTGTCTTGAGACAGTTTCTTACCTAGGCTCCTTCAAGGCAGTTTTTTTTAAAGGATAGGGTCTTGCTATGTAGTTCAGGCTGGCCTTGAACTCACTATGTAGCACAGGCTGGCCTCAAACTCTTGGTGATCCTCCTGCCTCAGCCTCCCAAGTGCTGAGATCACAGGCATGCACCTCCATGCCTCCTCCAGGCATTTCAATATGAATAAAGACTTTTCAGTTATTCATGGATACAAGTAAAAAAGGTATCCAGGAAATGGTAAACATCAGGAAAGCCAAAAACAAAACAGCAAACAAATTAGTATTCAGTAATGCACACAATCATGATGTTTAAGAAGAGGGAAGCCTTGTTTTTGTTTCAAGTGTGTTATTTCTCGTGAGCCCCTGAAGATGTAGACAAATTGGAAGGCTCCAAACTGCAATGCTAATCACTAAGGAGGTAGAAGGATTGGTTTAAAGAAAAAAAACAATTACTGAGGCCAAAGTGTAAGCTTGGCCAAGTGTGGCTATGGGAGGGATTGCAGTTTAAACCCAAGCCAGGGAGGGAGCGGGACTCATTAGCATGAAATTAAAAGGTACAACTTGAAAGAATAGGAATAAAGAGAAAATTGCCCCCAAGTGTTCAAAGATGATATTGTCAGTCCCAAGAAATTAGCAGTTAACTCATCAAAACCCTAAAACCCTTGATTTTGAGGACTGGCGCAGAGTGAGGAGGGGAGCTCATCAGGGCTGCCTGGTGAGTCTAAAGGCTGGAGATTGGCCAAGGAGGTCGGGTCTGGACTTCTGAATCAGAGCTGCAGCATGACAAGATAAAAGTAGATCCAGATGATTCACCCACGTGAAGACTGACTGAGGGAGCGTTTAATTCACAGACCTTTGGCTACCGCTGGCAAAGGCTGCGCGGCTCCTGGTTGGAGGAGATGCTGAACCCTGGTTTCTGCACAACCACAGCCTGGAGTTTGAGTCTGAGAGAGTCTGGCCACTCTCCTGAATGTTTCCTGCAAAGCAAACAGCAGGTTCAGTTTCAACATTAATTAATTAGAAGTTTGCCACAGGACCTCAAAGGGCACCTTTAAGTGTAGAATTTTTTTTCCGCTTTTTATAATAAAAAAGTAAATGAATAAAAACAATCAAACCAAAGCTCTCTTTTCTTGAAAGGGAGGAAGTATATTTTTTCTTTTGCTCACATTAAACTTGGTCAAATACAACCAATTTGCTTATATAAGAACTCTTTGTTTTTATTTGTTTTGGCTAATTATTTTTTCTAGCTGTGTGTGTGTGTGTGTGTGTGATACATAACAGTTTCATTGTTGGGGGAATTGGTATATGTATATTCATATCTTGATTATTTTTGATCCCTCTCTTCCTCCCTCCCCCTTCCCCATTTCTACAAAGTTTGTGTTTCTCCTATCTCTTCTTTATTTTAGTCTTTATTTGCATTTTAGGCTTTTCATTTAAGAGAAACCATGCACTATTTAACTTTCTGTGTCTGACTTTTGTCACATCACACTCTGGTCTCAAGATCCATCCATTTTCCTGGACGTGACTTGATTTCATTCTTCCCTATGGCTGACTGTTAAATTCTGAGTACTGAGGGACTCTGCCATTAGGGGAAGGTACAATGTACAGACTGCATCCAGTAAACTGGTGGGAGCCCTGCAGGGTACGTGGCACCTCGCCCACCTCATCAACCTCCCAAGAGCAAACTTCTTTCTCTCCTGCTCCTGAGGGCCTCACCCACCAAGCCACAGACCCATGGACTGCAGGGCTGGCTCCTCCTGGTGGAACCTGGGGGGCACAGTTCCCCTTGTCTTGACCCTGAGGCCCACAGTGGTCCTCTCTGGGTTCGAGGGGCTGCCTGCTTTTCTGGCCTGGATGCCTGGCATCCCTGATTGCAGAACTTCCTCTGGCCACATGGGACAATCTGTCCAAGTGTTTCTCCCCTGGTACTGCTCCCGGAGGGTCTTGCTAAGTTACCCAGGCTGGACTTGAACTTGGCAACCTCTACCTCAGCCTCCTAGAGTGCTGGGCTTAGAGATCTGCACCATGCGCTGGAAAGATTTGTTTGGTTTGGTTTAAGTCAGCAGATACTTTCTATGGCCACCAGGACCGGCCGGCTATGCTCAGCCACTCACTTGTCACTCCTGTGTCACCAGGGAGCCTGAGACAGTGACCTCAATCCCTAAGCTCTGGTAGGAATAGTGCCAAATGGATGTTTTCAAGCTGAAAATGTCAGCTGTGACAGAATCTGTCTAAAAATGTCTTGGAGTGAAGTCCAACGTCAGGGACCCGAGATGTGTGCCACAGGGTCGGGCCACACTGCAGGCAGCCGAGACTCCAGGGATTGAATGCACTGCAGGTCACGCTGTCTACATTGACCTCACCATTGTGGGCCATTCTCCAAGATCCACAGTCTCTGTCCCTCACCTTAAAGAAAGACAGATGTTAAACACAGGAACAGCAGTGACAACAAAAAGTGGGACCAACCCACCCAAACACACTGGCTTTGTAAAAGAAAAAAGCTCTAGTGGAAATAAGTATTTCTTATAAATCAAGTCTGACAAGCAAAACCATTGGTACAAATGTCCTGAACAGCCCAAGGTGAGTGGCAGACCCTGCAAAAGCCAGGTGACAGGATTGCATCCCCGGAAGTTTCAGGAAGTTCTCAGTTCCACCGAGGCCTGGTCCCCAGCGGGGCCAGCCTGCCTCAGCCACACCTCGGCTGTGTCCCTAGTGGGCCCAGGGGAACTGGATGGCTTCTAGAGGGCAGAGTTACCCGCCCACTCCAGGTCTCCCCAGTATTCACCTAGGGGGAGCTGAAGCCCACAGCACAGGGACAGATGGCTGTGTCCAGCTTGAGGTGCTGATGGGACCAGGGCCGACCCAGATCTTTCCTTCCCTTTAGAAGGCAAAACAAGGGGGAAAAAAAAACCAACAACAAACCCATACCGTTGTCAATGAGGCAATGCAAAAGGAAAGGTCATTTCCACCAGGGGCCCTTTTCTGTCCCTTCTAATCCTTACTTTCAAGTTTGTGAAGTAAGATCACGCCTACTTCTTCCTGACGTCACACGGCTTGCAGGAGGAATGTCCAATCCAGAGGACACTTCTCGCCCCAACTTTATGCCGTGTGAATTTACAATCTGCTTTTCTTATCATTGAACCACTGCAATCCAGGGGCTGGCATTTAATTGACCGATTCTTCTTCTTCTTTTTTTTTTCTGTCTGAAATGCGTCAGATGAGGTCAAATCAAGAAAGCACTGTTTCTGTACCGAGAGACCAGCCCCACAGAAAACCAGCCTGGCGAACCTTCTGGTGAGCATCAAAAAGGAGCCACTGCCGATGACCGCAACTGCAGATCCACTGTGGGTGTGCAGAGGCACCACTTAGGGTGGCGATGGCATGCCGGCAAACAGCCTGTGGTGGAGGACAGGCTGAGCAGTGCTCAATCCCGGAGGGCCACTGCTGTGTCCCTGGGTCTTTGTGGGAATTGCTTGGGCAGGTAGCAAATGCTAGGTCATTGAGCCAATGACTGAGCAGCATACAGAAAAGGGACTACCCTGAGCCAGTGATTGAGTTGCTTACAGAAAAGGGACTACCCTGAGCCA